GCAGTGGGATTTACAGAAGGATATTCAAAGAAGATTATTTCTTTCTTGCAAAGCTAGTGGAAAGGAAAATTTCTTCCATTAATTTTCAATCCTTTGAAAATAAGACTATACCATGTTATTAATGGATGTAGTTTTAGAAATCACTGATATTTTAACTTAATTTTGTTCAATTTAGTTGTATACAATTATTCTATTTCATCTTTGTACTCATTGCTTACTTAGAAAGCATCAAGATTAGATAACTGTTAAAATCAAATTCTGTTGCTTTGTTATTTTTTTCATTTAATGTTACTAATAGAACTGGCAAAACAGATGTTTTCAGATATTATGCAAAAGTAGATAAGAGAGTTAAAATTTAAAAGCAGAATGAAGTTTAGGAAGCAAACATAAAATGGGAGAGAAAAGCAGTATCTGTGAGTTCTTCGAATCTCTTAATGGAACATATGGTATTTCCCCTCCCCCCACAAATATAAGGCTAATATCTCATATGTACTTTGTCAGTGATGAGGAGTTTATCTGTGGAGAAAGGATTTATTAAGCAAATTGAGAGAAACACATGGTCAATTCTAAACTAATTGAGAATAAACTACTTTCATGTATTTTTAACCATTTGTGAAAAAGAAGCAGTAGCATAATTACAACAGAATCTCACATTCTCATTAAAGCAAGCCTAATGGCCTTCTCCACTATCCCACACTCACCTCTTGGTTTGAGTAATAAATGCTCATAAAGATACTCTATGTCAAAAAAAAAAATWAAAAAAAAAGATACTCTATGTCTTAACTAATTCAGACCACCCCTCTTCAACAAAAATTAACATGTTACATTATTTTTGAGTTGCACAAACTATTGTCATTATAAAACATTTGAAAAAATCTTTAAAATTGAACAGTTAATCATTAAAATGTAGCTGAAGAAATACTTCAGGGCCAATTTTTTGTCTAACAAACTAGCAAAAAAATTTTAATACTATCAAGTGGGGGTGCAAATCCTAAGAACTCATTCTCAAATGACACAGCTGCAAGTGCAAATTAGTACAACTTTCTGAAGAAGTGGACTTTATAAATCATTAGTATATTTACATAAGAATTGTAATAACAATATGCATAAAAATCCTTCAAATATTAATATTTTTGCCTTAGCAGTCCCAATTCTGAGAATTTACACTAAGGAAATAATCAGAAAGTATGTATAATAAGTAAAAACAATTGCTGTACTTTATTGAGTACATATTATACATTACAGGTACTCAGTGTTACTTTACATAAATTACCATATCATTTAATTCTCATAATAACCCTAAGAAGCACCTATGAATATTACCTTCACTCATAGCTGAGAAAAACAAGCTTATAAGGTAAGGAACTTGTCCAAGGTCATAGAGTAAAACTCAGATCTATGTGAATCCTAAGTCCAAATTCTCACTTATAACATGCTAATATACCGAAGAAAAATCTAATAAGAAATAGTGGTTTCTCTAGGTTGGTAATTCTATAGAATATTATTTATAATTGTGAAAAACCAACCTGGGTCAACCTGGATACAACTTAAATGTGCAACAAAGTGGGACTATTTAAAGGGTTACTATACAGCTATTAATAACATAACATCTATATACATTTTAGTGATATTTTTAAAAGTTCTTAATATCTTGAGTGAAAAAAAATCAGGTTTAAAGCAGTATGTTTCCCCAGGTGTGGAGGTAATCCCAGTTATTCAGGAGGCTGAGGCAGGAGGATTACAAGTTTGAGGCCAGCCTCAGCAACTTAGTAAGACCCTGTCTCAAAATAAAAAATAAAAAGGGCTGGAGATGTAAATCAGTAGTAAGTTAGTAAGTGTCCTTGGGTTCAATCCTCAGTATGTATGTACGAACGTAATATATATATATATGAATGAACGAACGAATGAATGAATGAATGAATGAATGAATAATAGTATGTCACTGGATATGGTGGCACAAATCTGTTAAATCCCTGCTACTTGGGAGGCTGAGGCAGGAAGATCATAAGTTTGAGCCAGCCTGAGGCAACTCAGGGAGACTCTATCTCAAAAGAAAATAAAAAGGAATAGGGATATAGTTCAGAGATAGAGCACTTGCCTAACATGTGCAAGCCCATGGGTTCAATACTGCAAAAAAATTAAAACCAACAAAAAACAGTATGTTCAATGTGATCCCCAATACAGTGTGTGTGTAGAAAAAAAGAATTGAAGAAGATAGGTATTTATGCTTTTCTGTATTTTCTAAATTATTTTTGTAATTAGGAAAAGCTATATTTTTGGGGTAGCACTTAGAAGGAAAGAAATATTTTCTCCAGGATGATAAAACATTATAAATCATTTGTGCTCTGAAAAAAAAGTTAAAAACATTTTCTTCCCACTGAAAATGTAGAGAGGAGAACAGTGGTGGGAGGTAGACTACAATAACTAAAGAATGGCATTTATATTTCATTTTCAAAAACAACTTGGAAGACTGAGCATCTTTAGACTGGTTTGAGCCCTCAGGCTTTTGTCAACCTATCATTAGGTAACAATGTGAAAGCTATTTGCAGGGAAAGATTTTGTAATATTTCTAATATATTTCTAAGACACCTATGCTTCATTCTTTTTTCTGTTCTGAACTTTAGTTACAGGGAATCATATTTTTCCCCCTGAGGAAAACCAAAAAGTCTAATGTGAATTTATTATACTGCTGAAGCAGAAATAATTTTTGTAACTTTAAGAGTACATGGATGATCCAGACAGTGAATCATGAATTGAAATGATTTTGAATAAGCTTGTATAGACACTTATTTTTATATTCTTTAGCCTTCTACTCATCTAAAACTCTACCTTGAAAGGCTTCAACAATTTAAAGATTAAATCATAAGTTATTAAGCCATTAATTTAACCATTTAAGCCTCTAAAATCAGCATATATTACCTTCCCCCCTCAAGTCAATTTGCAAGAGATTAAATTAATAAAAATGATAATATCTCACACTCACAAAGAAGCTTTGATCTGCAGAAGCCTAAAGTACTTTTTAAAAACTTTATAGAAAAACTAGGCCTATCCACCCACATCCCACAGTACATCTGAGGTAGAAGCTGGCAGCTGGTGAAAAGCAATGGAGCATCTGCAGGGAAGACTACCACTTTTGAATAAGCACAGGAACAGACAGCGTAGGGAAATGCAACAGAATTAGCTTCTCAATTAAATAGGGAAATTCAAAAGGCTATTATTTAAATTTTCACCAGGAGTGGCTTAAGGGAAAATAAAAACCAGAAAATAAGGACTGGAAAATACCTCAGTGGTAGACAGCTTGCCTACCATGCTTCAGGTCCAGGGTTTGATCCCCATCACTGAAAAATAACAAAGACAGACAGACCCCACCTACTCTCGGGAGTTACTGGTCTTGTTTATTCTCTGCAGATATTCCTGAGAAGGACAGATACTACTCAGAAATAGAGTGAACTATGATAGTCTGAGGTCTTTCCATGGCTGGCAACTTTCCTCTCTCATTCACACCCAATTTGAAAGATCTTTATATAGAATATTAACTATTTTGGGGGGGAGCATTCTGGGGATTGAACCAAGGACCTCACACATGCTAGGCAAGCACTCTATCACTCAGCTACACCGCCAGCCCTAGAGTATAAATCTTGCCATTTCAGGGCTTGTGGCTCAGAATCTGCTTCTTCCATCTACTGCAAGCACCCATCACCAACAATTTTCTGCAACCTACAAAAACAAGAGACTAACTTCTTAAACTGCGATTTGGAGGAGTCTGGGATTTTGGAATGGGTTTTTCCTTTTTAGTCCCTTTCTTAATGAAAAACTAAAGCACTTCTACCATCTGGGGTAGGTTAGAAGTGAGGGCCTATGAGTAAGATCAAAGAACACCCAGAATCATGTTTAGTAGGCAGCACTCAGTTTTCAGGATTTTCTTCCCCATGTCTTTTACTTTTATCAATTCATATGAGTAAAAGATCAAGCATAAAAAAAGGTTTAAATCAAAGAAATACTTTAGTTGGATATAAAATATAATTTCCTCACTGTCTGTTTGGTAGGATGTCAAATTAGCCTACCAATGACAACATTGAAACATTGACTACCAAGTGAGACAAATAGGTAGAGTCTTCATTGTGAGACTTTCAAAAAGGTTTTTTTTTTTTTTTGAGCAGTCGTCTATCTTAGATAACCTACTTGTCACTTTCTTGAATATAAGAGAGATGGACCAGATGATCTAATGTCCTTTCAGCTCTAGGATCCTATTCTATGTTGTTTTAGCTTCACTGATGGTTCAAAGTAGCCATATTAAGAAAGTGTTAAATGGGGAAAAGAAGATTGAGGACTGAGTTAAGTTGTCAAGCAGACTCTATTACCTAATATACAATCATCCTTTTTTAGGGATTCTTGGGAATATCTTCCCAATGATCACCTCTTTTCTTTCCCAAACTATCCAATCAACTTAATTGGCCTTCAACAGTTCAACTTTATACATAAATAAAAGAACTTAAAAGAAATCCTATATGAATTTGCTCTACTCCACCTGAATACTCTTAACAATTCTTCTTTTAATCAAGTTGATATAAAGTTAAGAAATGAAAATTAATCTTAAAATGTACTAAACAAAAAAGATAATTTAAAAGGTAAAGATACCCTTAATAAAAATGTATTACAGGGGCTAGGGTTGTGGCTCAGTGGTAGAGCACATGTCTCACACGTATGAGGCACTGGGTTCAATCCTCAGCACCACATAAAAATAAATAAATAAAGATATCATGTCCATCTACAACTAAAAAAAAATTTTTAAAAATGCATTACAAAGTTAAAAAAACAAAAACAAAACAGTTAATGCCCCTCCCTTACAAGTTATGCTGATAATTTTGTTTCATTTGAGAAGAACAGTGTACAAAGGCAAATATATGCATGTATATACATGTATGTACAAGCACGCACGTGTGTGTGCACACACACATCTAAGGGACAGGAAATTAAAATAAAATTACAAATCTTGATACCTTCTTCATGGCCTGACACTTGGCTGTCTCAGAAAAGCCAATCATCTTATCAGGAGAACAGATCTTGATGAAGGGGAAGTTGGATTCCTCTGCGATCTTTGCAGCTAATGCAGTCTTCCCACTATGAGGAGGGCCTGCATAAAGATATGAACAAGTCAGAGGAAAAAAGCCAACCTAAGCAAAGGAGAATCAAACAAGTTTAAACTTTGATCCATAATGTACTGAGGTCTCAACTAGTTGCTCATTAACATTTCCTGACACAGTTTCATGGCAGACATGTTTCCTTTTATTTATTAGCAACTAAACTTAATGATCTGATTAGCATTTTTTAAAAGTATGGTAAAATAACATGCCTTCTTGCTTTTTCACATTGCCTTAATCTTTAAAAATTCTCACTGTGTTTATAAAGTGCCAGGGTTTTGTTTCTTAAAAGAGAGAAAGGGGGGAGGGAGAGAATGTAATGCCTATCAGCACTTGTGATATTAGTTCTATCAAACTGTTTAACAAAAAATACTATCGTGTTAGGAGATGATATTGTGATTAGGGAAAAACTGCCTTATTATAAGTAAATGTTCTATAAAAAGATAGAATTCTAAAGACACAGGCCTTATCTAAAGGCAACCAAATCTACAAATTTACCTGCATTTAGACAACCCTTCCCTCCCCTCATGTGTATTGGAAGATACRTCCCTCTTCCAACCATAAACCAATAAATTTTTCCCTACCATCTTCTCAGGAACCTGACATTAGCGACCCTTCCTCGTTCCAATATGTTCAGCTGCTTCCTCTTCCCTGAAGCTTTTTCAATAGTGTTAAACATAATCTGATCTGACAGTTAAAAAAAAAAAAAAACACTCTTTCTGGACTTCATTCCACTCAACAATACCCTTCAAAATGGAACTTCCCTAAACAATCATCTCCATTGGCAGCTTCACTCTTCATCTCCCCTTCATCTGTCCATCGCCACCAACCATACAGCTTCCACTGCATGACATGATCAGGCTCCCATCAATGATCTCGGGGCCACCAATCAAGAGAGATACTTCATCTTTGTTGACCTCTTAGAAAATTTGATACAACTTGTAACTTCCCTCTTTCTTGAAACACCTTTCCATTTCTGGCTTCTGAGACAGCACGCTCTCCCTTGGCCCCTTACCCCCAAACAAGACTCTTGCTCAGTCTCCTTTGTCAGCACTTCCCACTTTTTTTAGTCCTAAATTGTTAATGCACCTCAGAGATAAGTTCTAGGTCCTCTCTTCATCTCAACCCTCACCCCTTCTGTAAGTGACTTCATCCATTCCCATTTTTCAAAGTCAGTCTCCATAATGACAAATCATGAATCTATTGCCAGCTGGGCTACTCTTCTGAGTGCCAAGCCTACCTATGCAATAGGCTATTTGCCATTTCTAATTTAATTCTCCTACAGGAGCCTAGAATTTATTCAAAACCGAACTCATGATCTGTCTTCCTCAAACTGTTTCTTCACTAGTATTCCTAATCTTAGTAAACAGCACCATTTACCAGGCTCTATAATGCCAGAAATCTGGGAATCATGTGTGATAACTGATATATGTATGATAACTAAACAATCAAACCAATATTTCCAAGCTTTAGCCCCCACAATTACAAGACAGGGATAACAAGAGCATCTATTCCCACAGAACTGACATTAGGCTTAAATGAGATAACACATATAAAGTACTAACAGAGTGACTGGCAAATGGGAAGGGCTTGAAGAATGTTAACCCAATTATGGTTGAGAATTAATAATAATGATTTTGTCACACTTTATTCTACCTCCTAGATATTTCTCAGATTAGCCCACTGGGCTCCAGCTCCACTCAACCAGCACTCATTAAGACAATGCAACTGCTTCTTTTTGATTTTCCATCCATTCTCCATGATGAAGCAATTATGATGATATTCTGAAAACACACATCTGCTCACATGACTTATTGCTTAAAACCCAACAAATGGCTTCCCATTGCCCCTAAGATGCAGTCTTTTTATTTTTTTTAGCTGTAGATGGACACAATACCTTTATTTTGTTTATTTAGGTTTTTTTTTTTTTTTTTTCAATGTGGTGCTGGGGATCAAACCCAGGGCCTCATGCATGCTATGCAAGTGCTCTACCAACTGAACCACAACTCCAGTCCCAAGATGCAGTCTTTAACATCGCCAGTGAGGCTTTGTAAGAAATGGCTCCTACCTACACTTCTTCAGTTTATGTGTGGTGAATTTTTCTGTTTCCAGATCTTCTCTGCTCAGGGCTTTTTCACATGCTAGTCACTCTGCCTAGAACACCAATTACAAAGCCCAGCCAGCTTCTCTGCATTCTTTGGGTCTGGGCTTACGATGCTTCTCTCAAGGAGCCCTTGCCCCCTGACTTTTGAGGGAGTTAGGCTCCTGTCATCTGGCCTCACTGAATTTTTCTGTCCTCATACTAATCATAATTGTACATTAATTATTTGTGAATGGAATGTCCTTCCCCTGTTGTCTACTTGATAAAATCCTAACTAATCCTTCAAGGCCTAAATGAACCATCACTTCTGGTTTACTCTGACCACCCTTGGGCAAAATTTCTTGCATTAGCACACATCCTTACACACAAATGCTGTAGTTAGGAATTTCTTTACAAGTCTTTTTCATGACTAGACTGAATGCTTGAGTGGAGATGCTTGAATGTCTCTATCTCCAGCAACTAAGTAGCCTAAAACACAGCAAGTATTCAGTAAATACTCTTTTTTTTTCTTTTTTTAATTTTTATTGGTTGTTCACAACATTACAAAGCTCTTGACATATCATATTTCATACATTAGATTGAAGTGGGTTATGAACTCCCAATTTTACCCCAAATGCAGATTGCAGAATCACATCGGTTACACATCCACAATTTTACATAATGCCCAATTAATAACTGTTGTATTCTGCTGCCTTTCCTATCCCCTACTATCCCCCCTCCCCTCCCATCTTCTCTCTCTACCCCATCTACTGTAATTCATTTCTCTCCTTGTTTATTTTCCCATTCCCCTCTCAACCTCTTATATGTAATTTTGTATAGCAATGAGGATCTCCCTTCATTTCCATGCAATTTCCCTTTTCTCTCCCTTTCCCTCCCATCTCATGTCTCTGTTTAATGTTAATCTTTTCTTCCTGCTCTTCCTCCCTCTCTGTTCATAGTTGCTCTCATTATATCAAAGAAGACATTTGGTATTTGTTTTTTAGGGATTGACTAGCTTCACTAAGCATAATCTGCTCTAGTGCCATCAGTAAATACTCTTGTAACTGAATGAGGTCTATTTAATACCAGAGAAATTTAGATACAATCCTACAAGAAAACTAATTGCTATCAGTAACACTCAATCCCAAGGAAATTTTAATTTGTGTATAATATTGGTACACAGACTGGGTAACTATTTTCAGATTATGAATAAGGTTTAGAACTGAAAATCAATTCTGGAATGTGCTATATGGCTTTTTAAAAGTGCTGCTGTTCTTAAACGTTTTAAGGCTATCTCATCATTCTTTCTCACCTTCTAAAAGGACGCTAACCAGTGGTGTGCGGTCACTGTTTTTAGTCTGCTGGACCAGCAGCTCCCCATCATCCAGAACTCGAGTAACTGGGTCACCCCATTTGATGATTCCATTCATAATATAACTTGCATAATCCTCTTGATTTGTGCCAAATGCCTAATGAGGGAAAGGATAATTTAAAGCATTTTGAACATTAATATTAAAAAGTAAAATATTTAATTTCTCCACCATTGTGTTATTTGTGCTTCGTTCTATTCCTCACCATATCTTCTCACAAGACTTTCAAAACAAGCAATACCTGACCAAGAAACAAAAGCAAAATTGTTCCATTCCCCAGAGGCTTGAATGAAAACTGGTAATTAAATAATGTGTAACTCTTTTTTGGGGGGAGAGGGTACTAGGGAATTGAACTCAGGGTCACTCGACCATTGAGCCACATCCCCAGCCCTATATTGTATTTTATTTAGAGACAGGGTCTCATTTGAATTCACAATCCTCCTGTCTCAGCCTCTCAAACTGCTGGGATTACAGGCATGTGGCACCACACCCAGAAAATCATGTATAATTCTTAAGAGGACATATTAGAGAAGAACCAAACTGGGTCTACATAAAGAATTGTACATGAGGGGCTGGGGTTGTGGTTCAGCGGTAAAGCACTCGCCTAGCATGTGCAAGACCTTGGGTTCGATCCTCAGCACTATAATAAAGGTATTGTGTCCAACTACAACTAAAAAAAAATATTAAAAAAAGAATTGCACATGAAATGATATACATATTTATACTGTGTCAAGGTCACTATCATCTTGCTGTAGTAAGCTGAAAATGTCACCATTGTCTGGACAGTTGGACATGTTTTATTTTATTTTATTTTTAGAGAGAGAGAGAGAGAGAGAGAGAGAGAGAGAGAAAATTTTTTAATATTTATTTTTTAGTTTTTGGTGGACACAACATCTTTGTTTGTAGGTGGTGCTAAGGATTGAACCCGGGCTGCACACATGCCAGGCGAGCGCACCACCGCTTGAGCCACATCCCCAGCCCAGTTGGACATGTTTTATGGGTCCGATTTTTCTTTGTTTCTATGTTTTGCACTAGGAGGTTGATTCAGTAATAAACGTAAAACCTTCTGAAAAAAATAAAGTAAAATACTGAAAGGCATAAAAGATGAGTAAAGATTCCTACACACCAAGACTATTAAACACTATCTTGTATTAACGTTAAGTCTGAAAAGCCAAAACAAAAACAAAGAATTAGGGGCAAGAGTTGTGGCTCAATGGTAGAGCACTTGCCTGGCATGCGTGAGGCCCTGGGTTCAATCCTCAGCACCGCATATAAATAAATAAAGTGAAAGATCCATTTACAACTAAAACTAAAAATATTAAAAAAAAAGCAAAGAATAAAGCCATCTTATAATTTCTCATTTAATGTTTTTACCCAATCAAAACAACAGCAAAAAAGCTACTTTAGAAGACTTAATGGAATAAAAACAATAGATTCTAGGCTCAGATTCTACCAGAACCCAAATCCTTATAATCCCTGAGCAAATGAGTACATTCCAACATGCTTGTTTCTATAGAGTATATAGGTTGTGGTCATTCTGTCAAAAAAAAGAGAGAAAGTAATTAAGGTCTTAGAAATTAGAAACAGCTCAGCAGATAGAAATATTATCTTAACACTGACTATGTTAGGTGCTGTTGATTAAAATGGGAATACAAAATAGAAATTATGTGTCTACATTAACTTTGTGATAGGGGAGACAAGTAAAATGGCACAAAGGTAAGGATATATATGTAAATATAAGGTTTAGAATGAGATAGAAATCAGAAGCTGTGGCTGGGATACAGCTCAGTGGTAGAGTGCTTGCCTAGCACAAACAAGACTCTGGTTTTAATCTCTAGCATCACACATACACATACACACACACACAAAAAAAAAAAAAGGAAAAAATAAAAGACATGAGAAAGTATAGTGAAAAATTTAAAGGTTAGAAAAAGGAAATAACAGCAATAATTCTTTTTTTTTGAGTTCATCAGATATTGAAGCTTAAATCACATTCCTCTTCATTTCCAACTTCTAATCACAAAGATTATAATTCCCATCAAAATAGCTGCCCAAAGTAGTCAATAACTTTAGTACAAATAATTGAATTGGATTTTCATGATTAACAGGAGAATAAATGTGTTGAAAAAAATAAGTCCATGTTCATGTATAGGTCATATATTTTGAGAATTTCAACATTCCCCTCCCCCCCAACAGTACTGGGGATAGAATCCAGAGCCTTGCACACTGAGCTATATCTCTCACCCTTTTTAAGAAAATTTTTTTTGGAGAAAGGGTCTTGCTAAATTGCCCAGACTGGCCTTGAACTTTTGATCCTCCTGCCTCAGCCTCATGAGTAGCTGGGATTATAGGTGTGCCCTACCATGCCTGGCGGAGAATTTCAACTTTTTAAAGATTATCATCTCCCTGAAAAAGTCATTTTTGATTACCTGATGTATGTGTTAATTTTAACAGTTCTTATAACTTCCATTTTGCAGAAAGTCATTTTGTAATATTGTCTCTAAAACAGTGCCCAGTTCTCCTGTTTCCATTACTTTACTACAAAATAATTTTTCAGATCACTCTCAGTACTGCCATTACCTACTCTGTACTTTCATTCCTGAGTACAGAGGAAAGTTCTCATTTTTTAGTCTGGATATGGAAATTCAGTGGTCCTGTAAAAAGTTATAAAGAAGAGCCTAATAAAGACCAGTTAAATGGCTTTTCGAGGATATATGTAGTAGGTTGGCTAGCTTTTGTCTTTAATTGTTCAAAGTATATTTTCCAAGACTTTTAGAAGCTGCTTTAAAATGCCTAATTCATAAAAGAGTGTAGCCTCTAATCCCAGAGGCTCAGGAGGCTGAGACAGGAGGATCAAAGCCAGTCTCAGTGACAAGATGCTAAGAAACTCAGTGAGACCCTGTCTCTAAATAAAATACAAAATACGGCTGGGGATGCAGCTCAGTGTTCAAGTGACCCTGAGTTCAATCCCTGGTACCTCCCCGGCCCCCCAAAAAAATTAAAAAGTGATTGAGGCTACATAGTAGTTATATCTTCATTATGCATTCTATCATTTCATTTTTTTCTTTTATCCTCCAGATCCTTGGAATAAATAAAAGTAAATGTTTTGGTCTTATTTCCTCATAGCCAATTTATTCATTATTAAACAAATCTTGCAATAGATCAGTTGGCCAGGCTCTAACATTTTTGGTAACTATTACAAATGATAATGACAAAAGATTAAACCATTTCCATTGTTCATTAACTTTTGAAAATAATTTGTGTTTTAAAAGTCATAAAAAGTACACAGGGCTAAAACAAATTGACTTACCTTTAAAGAAGGTACTTATAACAAATAATTATTTTTAAAGACTATATAACAAATGGCCAATAAACATATAAAAAGATGTTCAATATCACTAGTTATTAAGAAAATGCAAATCAAAACTATAATAAGACCTCACACATATCCACTGAAATGGATACTACTACAAAAAAAAAGGAAAGAAAGAAAAAAGAAAATAATAAGTGTTAGCAAAGATATAGAGAAAATGGAACCTTTGTACATTATTAGTGGGAATGTAAAATGGTATAAATGGAAAACAGTATGGTGATTCCCCCCAAAAATAAAAAACCAGAAACATATGATCTAGCAATTCTGCTTGTGGGCAAATATCCCAAAGGACCAAAAAGTGGGTCTTGAAGAGATATTTATATATATTCACAGCAGCATTATTCATAATAGCTAAGATGTGCAAGCAGCCCAAGTGTCCACTGGTGAATGAATGGATAAGCAAAATGTAGTAAATACATACAATGGAATACTCCTCAGCCTTAAAAAAGAAAACACTGATATATGTTGCAACATGGATGAACCTTGGGAATCTCCGTCACCAAAAGACAAATACTGTATTCTTTCACCTATGTGAGGTACTGAGAGCAGTCAAAATTATGGAGACAGTAGAAAGGTGTTTGTCAGGCTCTGGGAAGAGAGGGAAAAGGGAGTTATTGTTTAACAGATATAGTGTTTCAGTTTTACATATGAAATAGTTCTGAGATGAATGGTAATGATGGCTGCAAAACATTATGAATTTAATACTATCAAATTGATGACCTCAAAAAATAATTAAGACAGTAAATTTTATGTTATGTGTATTTAACACAATCAAAAAAAGTGATGGGCTGAAGTTGTGGCTCAGAGGAGGAGCGGTCTTCTAGCAAGTGTGGGGCACTGGGTTCGATCCTCAGCACCACATAAAGTAAAATAAGGACATTGTGTCCACCTATAACTAAAAAATAAATATTTTTTTTTAAGTGAGAAAAGAATACTATGAAAAGAACTGGTGCAGATCAAACAAAAATAAACAATACAACAGAAAGATAGGCAAAAGACATGAAAGGCATTTCACAGAAGACAGGCATGAAGTCAATAAGCATGAGAAGTGCTTAACTTTGTAAGTAATGCGTGAAATGGAAAACAAGACCAAAATGAGCCCCCTTAGGATTTATGTTTAACTGGATGACAAGACTCAAGTTTGAGAAAACCAAGTGTTGGAGAGGAAGTAGAGGAAGCGTCTTTCCTACATTATTGGAGACAGTGCTAATTGATTCTACCTCTTGGAAAATGATTTGAAATTATATTTTAAAGTTGGAAATTCATATAACCAAAACCCCAGAAACTTTATTTATTGACAGGAAATGGATACACTGTGGTATTCAATACTTCAAAGAATGCTATTTAGTAATGAAAATGAATGGTGTATAGTTATAGGAAATTATATGAATGACTCTTGGTAATTGAAATATTTAATAAAATAGCAAGTCCCAGAAAGTAACAAACAAATAACACATTTTACACTATGTATATGGACAAATGACAAAAGTGTGTCATGAATTAAAAGAATAAGATTAATCTACTCCTGTGTAGATTTTCCATTTAAGAAAGAAAACAAATCTTTAAGAACTTTCTACAGTTTGTTTTTGTACTAACAAAAGGACTCTAAACAATGGCTACTTGAAGTCATTAGTGATTGTTTTGTAGAAAAATGAGCTAATGACCTTATCCTATATTCTGAAGCTCCGACTCTGTTTTGAGTACATTTTCAGAAAACTCTATAGAGTACTTAGGATTGTTAAGAGCTTAGAAGCTACAATGGTCAGAGAACTAGAGGAATTGAAAAAAAAGAAGAAACTCTTAGAGGAGGTGAGGAAAAGTAGAAAGGAAGAGGGGGGAGGGTATAAGAGCTAATAACTCACATATGAAGGATGAACTGAATTCAGGTTTCTATATCTTGAGATTATAATAAAACCAATAAGAAAACTAATTCTAGTTCAATATAAAATAAGAACTAATAAAGTCTCAAAATTGAATGGGCTGCCATACAAGGTGGTAAGCTTCTTATCATGAAAATATTTAGATAATGGTTAATCATCCAGCCACCAAGAGACATCGTACAGATGTTTACTTTTCTTTATGATGCTGGTGATGGAACTCAGAGTGTCCAGTGAACTGGGTCAGCAGCCCCAGATATTTCATATATTGGACACTTCTAGTACTAAGATTTTTTTCATTTTATAAAACTATATATGATATCATCTTCTGTAATACTGGGAAAATGGCACTTATTTTTCCTGAATTATCATCACTATTATTATGGCTTATATATAACTCAATTATCTATACTCACTGGTTTGATATCATTCTCCAAAGAAGCAAGGAAGTCTCCTCTTGTCACCTGCAGGCTCTCTGCTTTCTCCATGTCCACTTCCACTTTAGTACTTGCCTAAGTCAAAATGGGAAAAAAAATATAAAAACTTTCAAGATTTAGAAATATTTTCAGCCTAAGAAAATAATATCTGAAGATTAAAAAGCATATTTTTACAGATAAAAGCTCAAATTTCTGCAAATCATATGTATTTAACAGGATTAATATGCAGAAGTTATAAGAAAAACTATTAAAATTCAACCACAAAAAAATTTAGAATTTAAATAGACATTTTTCCAAAGTAGATGTACAAATGACTGAAAACACATGAAAAGGTGCTCAACATTATTAACCATTTAGGGAAATACAAATGAAAACTACAATGACATTTCACCTGATATACATTAGGATGGTTTCTAACAAAACAAACAAACAAAACAGAAAATGATATGTGCTGGCAAGGATGTTGAGAAAATAAACTCTTGTGCACTACTTGGGGAACATGAAATGGTGCAGACATTGTAGAAAACACTACAGTGGTTCCTCAAAAAATGAAAAATAGAATTAACGTATAATGTATAATCTAGCAATTCCACTTCTGGGTGTCTACCCAAAGGATGGAAACGGGGTCTTGAAGAGATATTTGCCTACCCATGTTCATAGTAGCATTATTCATGATAGCTAAGATGTGGAAACAATCCAAGCATCCACTGATGAATGAATGGATAAGCAAAATGTGGTAACTACATACACTGGAATACTACTCAGTCTTAAAAAGGAAGGGGAGCTGGGGTTGTGGCTCAGTGGTACAGTGCTTGCTTAGCATATGTAAGACACTGGGTTTGATTCTCAGCACCACACATAAATAAATAAAATAAAAGGTTCATTAACATCTAATTTTTTTTTAAAAAGGAGGGAATTCTGACACGTACTATAACGCAAATCAATCTTGAGACTATTATGTTAAATGAAATATATCCATTACAAAAATACAAATATTCTCATTCTTCCTATGTAAGCTATTTATGTAAGTAGTCAAAATCAGTCAGTCAGATGTTAAAACAGTGGTTGTCAGGCTAGGGAGAGGGTAGAATTAAGAGTTAGTGTTTAATGGATATAGAGTTTCAGTTTTACAAGATGAAGAGTTCTAGAGATGGACAGTGGTGACAGTTCCACAAATGAACTACACATTTAAACTTACACTCAACTGTACACTTAAAAGTGGGTAAGTTGGTAAGTTTTATGATACTCATGTTTTAATATAACCAAAAACTTAGAAAAACAAATTTTTAAAAATCTCTTCAATTTATAAATATATACATCCTTTGAACAATTCCACATCTAGGAATTTTTTCCATAAATACATTCACAAATGTATACAAAGCTAAATGTACAAGGATATCTACTAGAGTGATTTGTAATAATAAAAGACTGGAAGCATACTGAATGTCCACCAACAGGGGTCAATGAAGAAAATTACAACATATCTATACCAAAGAATACTTTATAGTCCTTAAACAAAACAAAAACAATAGTAACAACAGCAACAACAACAACAACAACAAAAAAAAAAGCGAGGCATAGCTGGGTGTGGTGGTACATGTTGTAGGCCCAGCTACTTGGGAGGCTAAGGTAGGAAAGATCACTTGGGCCCAGCAGTTTGAGGCCAGCATGGCCAACACAATGAGACTTCAAAGACATAGATGCCCAGCCCACCCACCTCAGGATTTTGGTTTCACAGGTCCCATGGAGGGTTTACACCTTTATACGTTTATGAAGTGCCATGGAATGATTCTGATACTGAACCAGGTTTAAGAATCATTTGTCTAGGAGACCAAGGACTTGAAACTGATTTATAATCATAGTGTGTGCTTGAGAATCTAAGTGCCAGCTCCAAATATTCTGCTTACTGCACCTGGAGCTAACACTTAGACATCTGGAGAAGCATCAAGGTCTTTATCAGCACTTGGAGCTGCCTGGACCTGATGAGTGATTAAGATACCAACACATTTTTTAATGTGACTGGGCTCACTACCAATAGCACAAAGCAAGAGTCAGTCTAATTTTTAAATTGGTATCATGTTTTTTTTTTTAAAGGCATCTTCAAAAAAAGCTGACTAAAAAACAAAAGTATGTTAAGCAAATATCAACTTTCCATCAATATATAAAATATGAGTCATATTCCTTTAGGAACCGACTCCTGAGACAAATAAAACGACAGACATTAAAAAAGGGGGGGCAGCCTTAAGGGATAAAAAGAACTATGTCAAGAAACTGGATCAAGATGGCAAAGAGAACACATGTATTTGTTTCTTTTTCTGCCCCAAATTTCAAGAAATGAGAAAGATTAAAAAGCATGGAAGATATATGCAGAAATCTTAACACTGACCTAACAGGAGTCTGAGCAGCAGAGAACAGAAAGACTAATAAAGAAGAAACAAAAGACAGAAGAGAAAAAAATTCCACAGCTACAGAAAGGCGTGTCTTTGTAGTTTAAAGGGTTCAATGAGTGCTGATCAGTATAAGTGAAAAGCAACCACATCTGTCTAGACACACTGTTGTAAATTTTCTGAGCACCAAAGATGGAAAAGTCTAAGAACCTTTCTATGAGACAAAAATGGGTGGCCTGTAAAAAATTGGAATAAGATTGGGATGACACCTTTGCTGGCAATACTAGAAACTAGCAGACAATGAACCTATGTCTTCAAAAATATGTCTGGATATCTGACCTGGAAATGACTCCTGTACGAACACAAGGAGGCACGAGAGAACATTTTCATATCAGTATTGTTTTTAATAGACACAACCAGAAATATCCTAGATGTTAAACCATTCATTCATTCATTCATTCATTCATATTTACTTGAGTGCTCTAGGAACTAGAGACAACACTAAATAAAATAGACAAGTCTCACCCTCACAGATCTTACATTTAAAATCATGTGGTAATATTCTAGAATACTGTGCCTTTGTTCAAAATAATAAAGGGAACTTATATGTACCGACATGGTAGGTTATCCAAGACATACTAGCAAGTAAAAAATGTAAACTATAGTCAAATTCCATTAATGTTCACTTTTTTGAAAGCACATATGTATATGAATGTAAATATGAAGAAAGCAAATTACAAAGGTATATACCAAATGTTGGCTACCTTTGAAAAGGAGAAGGAAGGGATGTTGGACATGGTCTTTCTCATTTTTCCCTATATACTTTGGCATCCTTGAATCTTCTAAAAATAGAGTGTATTCATTTATGACTTCTATGATAGTCTATTTCGTGTTAACTATAACTTAACACCTGAGGCAGGTTAACATTAAAAAAAAAAAGAGGTTTATTTAGCTTACAGCTTTGGATGCTGAAAACCCAAACACCATGTGCACACTCTGGCAAGGGCCCCATGGCAGATGAGAAGAGTGTGTACAGGATAAAGAATTCATCTCTCTAAATAGGAAGCCAGAGGGAGACTGGGTGGAGGGGGGCTTAGACTTATGGGAATACTCTCTCTAGAACTAATCAGGGTCTGAGAAGAAATACTTCACCTCCTTGGGAGGGTAGGGCTCAATGCCCTAAGGACCTCCCACTAGGCTCCACTTCTTAAAGGTTTCATAGCCCCTCTCAATACTGTCACTGGGGCAACAAATTTACAACACCTGAATCTTTGGGGAGACAGCATCACTGAAACTATATCAGGTTCCGTATTTTTAAAAAGAAAGAAAGTGATAAGTAACATTTAAATAGATGAATATTCCACTTAAATAGAACAGTTGGCATTTAGATTATTAATAAGGGTTTCATTGGTACATATTAGGCATTCAATAAGTATTAATCGTATTTGTTTAGCATTTCTAAGTTTAAAAAAAGGGAAATGTATTATAGGAAACGGGCCTCTCCATGAAAAAAAGTATGTTGGCTCAGGCTAGGGATGTGGCTCAGTGGCAGAGCGCTAGGCCCTGCATTCGATACCCAATACCACCATCATCAAAAAAGAAAAAAAAAAGAATTCTGATAACTCATAAAATATAAATCTCTACAGCCAACTTTGTGTGTGTGTGTGTGTGTGTGTGTGTGTGTGTGTACACGTGCACGTGCGCGTGTGCTGGGGACTGAACCCAGGGTCTTGCATGTGCTAAACACACACCCTTGACACTGAGTTACACCTCTAGCTCTAGAGTTCTTCATCAAGTAGGTTCATATACATTATCTCATTTCATCAAATTACATTATCTCATTTGATATAAACCTGGAGGCTTTCATAAGTCAATAAGGGCAGACATAGGATTTCCTTCCTGAGCAGCTTTACACAAAAGCTTTAACTGATTAAAACTTTTGACACATCTAAAAGGATTCTACAAAATGCAACTATCACATGAAGGTGAAGAAGCAAGCTCCGAAAGAATCATATTAAAATCCCAGTGAAGCTACCAGCCTCTTTTAAATGGCCCCTCCTTGTGTAGTCTTAAATTTTTACTATGATATTTGATATTTTGATTTGCTCTTATAGTAAAACTGAATTCAAATGACAGAAACACACAGTAATGTGAAAGAAAAATCTTGTCCATCTTTCAGTGCCTCCCCCCCAAAAAATCAAAATTCCAGGAATGAAGGTGGTTCAAAACATCTTTTGACTAATTATTATTATTACTGTGATTATTATTTGGTACTGGGGATTGAACCCAGGAGTGCATTACTACTGAGCAACATCCCCAGCCCTTTTTGTTTTTATTTTAAGACAGGGTCTTGCCAAGTTGCCCAGGCTGGTCTTGAACTTGCAATCCTCCTGTTTCAGTCTCCTGAGCTGCTGGGATTATAGGTGAGCATTACTGTGCGGAGCTTTTTACTTATTATTAAGAAAGAATTCACTTCAATGAATTAAAAGTGAAATAAAACAGATACAGAAAAACAAATACTACATGTTTTCATTTATATGTGGAAGCTAAAAAAATTATCTCATAGAAGTAAAGATTAGATATAGCAGTTATGGGAGGACAGGAAGGGCAGGGAGGGAACAGAGAGAAGATGGTTAATGGCACAAGGGTGCAGTTAGAAGAAATGACCTCAAATGTTACAAATCATGG